CGGCGGCCGTCGGGGAGCGTCCCGGGCGGGGAGAGCGGCCGCGCCGCCCGGTCCCTCGGGCCCCTCGGCTGTGCGCGTCGCCGCGCCGTGCGGCTGGAATCCTCGCGGTCCCACAAACTCTTGCGGCCTCTAGACCTGCCCCTGACCCAGGTGCCGCGGGCCGGTGACCGCGCCCTCGCCCGCCCGCCCTCCCGGCCGGCCGGCCACGTGGGGTCAGAGCGCGCGGGGAGCCGCACGCCCGGTGGGGCGGCGGTCTGCAGCCGGCTGGGCCGAGGCGCTCGCGGGCTGGCTCTGTGCCGACGGAGCAAACGCGGAAGGTCTGCACCTGTGCACCTCCCAGGCCTTCCTCATTCGGGATCAGGGGAGAGGCTTGGGGCGCCTGATCAGCCCTCAGCTGCGGGAAGACAGGTTCCAGGATTCGCCCTCACGACTTTTAAGGGGCTTCTTTTTCTGCCCCCCAAATCCAGAAAATGTGCAGGTTAGAAGACAGGCGCTGTCCCAGTTCATGGGGGCCTGGAGGATAGACTGCAGAGGGAGCACAGTGGAGGACCCGGGACTGCGGGTCAGGGCCGCCCACCTCACCACGGTTGTCAGCGATCGGCCGTCAGCCGACACTTAGGGGAGACTGTAGTCTCACTGGGGATACACTGGGGACTTGAGCTGTACTTCAAGTAACTGGAAGGTCAACAGGGTCATTGGTAACTTGCCAATTTAATTCATTAATTAGAGCATTTAAGTTAGGGATAGTCACTTTTGTATAAAAAGAGGCTAGCCAGGAAGTGGTTTTGGCTTTGCTGTGTCTGGTCTCTGTCTCAGCTACCTCATTCTGGCGGAGCAGCACCAAAGTAGCCAGACAGTACCTAAACAACTGAGTGTTGTTATATTCAAATGCAACTTTATGGACATTGAACTTTGAATTTCATGCAATTTTCCTGTCATCGTTTTTGTTTTTTGGGTTTTTTTTTGGCGGAACCGGGGATTGAACTCAGGCCCTTGGGCTTGCCAGGAAAGCATTTATTCCACTGAGCCATCTCCCTGGCCCCTTGTCACTGTTTTTTAAAATTCAATTTTTTTTGGCCTGCAGACTATAGTTTCAGTTGCAGATAACGAAAGTGGGTAGGCAGGGTCAAACAGCTAGGGGTGTTTCGCTTAAAGTGGGGGTCATTGGGGGTGGCTGTGGACTCTTGAGTGTCCTAGTGGGGTCAGTAGTGGTCATTAAGTTAAGGATAATGCATTTTAATTGCAACCTTTTGGAGGTCAGTGAAAGACAGGAAAAGTAACTTGGGGCATTAGGATTTAGGGTTTAGTTACTGAAGAGTCGCAGTAGGGAAATGCTGGGTGGACAATGAATGCCAGTGGAATCATCACTGATATTTTGTGGCTCAGCGTGGGTTTTTGGAGAATCACGAGGTGGCATTAGAGAAGTATCTGTGGATTTGTAGAAAATGAAAGTTTGTTGAGGCAGTCGTGGAGGCTGTCTGGATCCTTGAGTTGCTAATGGCAGTCACTGTGGGCAGCGAGCCAGAATAAACGGACAGTCACTGAGGGATCGGAAAGTCTCTGCACTGCTGTCAGTGCATGTCACTGGTGGTCAGCGGTCACTGGAGGTCACCAGGAGCAGTGGCAGCACTGAGGGGTCACTGGGTCATCTGTGGTGGTCAGCAAATAGGACAGCTGCTCTGCCACTAGGGTCTGTGCCTTGCTAGCTGGAAACCTTCTGTCTTTGTGGCGACTGAGCTGACAGTCTGCCTGTTTGACTGGAGAGGCTGGCCAGGAGCTGACTGCCCAGAAGGCAAGCTCCTGCTTAGGGTATCTTCCTTGTAGGCTGCAGTTTGTCTCATGGATGAAGGATAAGTCTGTCAGCCCAGCTGAAGGCAGACTAGGTGGGTTAGCTGTCTTTCCAGTGAGCTGACAACCTCTTTTTGCCAACTGGAAAGGAGTTCTGTCATCAGCTTGGAATATGGGGTCCAGTTTCCAATCACCCCAGGAAGGGGTCCATATTTCTCCCTGGCCACAGGTCTGTCTGGATACCTGGCTATGGGGGGAGGGAGGAGGTGTATCGTCCATCTGTCTAAGAATCTTCCCATTTGTCTGGCTGGCTGTCCAGCTGGGACCCTGTTGCTCTGGGATTCTGTCCACCTGAAAGTCTGTCTGGCCAAGGGATTGGCTGACCGGCTGGGGAGCCGAAGAGCTGGCTATATACTATTCTGCGGCCTGTGAAAGTTAAGTGGGAGGAGGTGTATCTGTAAGTCATGCTGCCAGCTGCACTGGGCAGCTGTCTTTCTGACCATAGCCTTATTCCTTGACACCGCTCACTTAACTCGCCTATCTCCCTGATACCGCTCTTCCACATCGCGCCAAACAGCACAGTGCTCCTGGTCTGCTGGGTGTGAGTGATGAAAACAACCCTGGCTGGGTGGCTCGGGCTGACCCCAGAGACCTCCCGCAGAAGCCCTGCCCCTATTGGAGGACTTAAAGTTGTGCTGTTGAAATCGGCCTCGCTGCTGCTAGTGGTCCCTGGGCTGCCGCAGTCCCTGCAGAGAGCGCAGCTGCGCATCTGAGCTGTGTGCGCTTGCTGTGTGGGCCGTTCGCAGCTGAGGATGAGGTGCTAGGCAGTGCTGGGGATGCCGTGCAGTGCTGGGAAGAGCCCAGTCTTCCCAGTGAGGGTGCCAAGAGGAGAGGAGAAACTGCAATGGAGAAACTCTCAGACCCCCCGAGCCTGGAAGCCTGTGAGGTGTTGGGACTACTGACTGCTAGACTTCTTCACTGGCTTTTTTTTTTTTTTTTTTTATGAAGGGGAAAAAGGTATAAGAAACAGGAGAATTGTTTTTGCACCCATCCCTTTGTTAAAAACCTACAGGTTGAGTAGGTTGAGTCCCATTGGCCCGCTCACCAGTCTGGCATTTGGCAGATAGGGGAGTGGTTCTTCCTTCCGAATGAAAGCAAGTGTTCGGGTCTTACAGTGTGTAGCAACTCAGTTCCTCTTAGAGAGTTTTTGCTAAACTTCTCCAGCTCTCAGAGGTTTCCGGACTCAGCATTCTGTGTGGATTCTCTTTCTGGGACAGCTCAGCACTGTGGCAGCACAGCCCAAGGAGGAAGACACCCTGCCCGTCCTCTTTGTGACTGGGTTATTAACCTTAAGATCTTCCCTGAAATTCTGCTTGAGAAAAGTTTGTGAAACTCTAGGACTGAATACAGGAGTATGCCCTCTTTCTTGTCTTAAAAAAATCATCATCCCTAAACGTGTGTACCAACTTTTCCCGTAGCCTGGCCACCTGCTCAGGAAGAGCCCAAGTGCTCTTTGTGGCCACAGTAGACTCCAGATGTTTTTCTTGGAGAAAATGCACTTGGACAGACAAGTGCTTCAACACAGCCCCTGGCAGCAGCTGGGGAGCCCGTGCACTTGGTCTGCAGTCGACACACCTCAGCACACTTCCCTGCGTGTGGTGGTGCCTTATTTAGAGCAGACCAGCCGATCATTATTTTCAGCTGAGGCTGGCTGGAGTCCTGCAGTTTAAGGGCCTCTGTGGTCCTTGAATGCAGAGCTAGAGGTATTGTGCACAACCAAAGAAAGGTCTAAATCTGTCTACAGAATCTGACCCCCGAGAAATTGTGTATCTCCTTATTTGGGCACGTGTCATCCTGTAAGGAGGAGGCACCTTTGCTGCTGCTGTTGGCCAGTGTTCTGATGTCCTAGCAAGGCAGTGTAGTAAGAAAAAAGGAGGGTTCTTTCAGAAACACTAAATGGTGTGTGGCGTTATCACCTAGAAAGTTTTGGATAATCCTGGAAAAGAGCTTGATGGCTGTTTTAGTTACTTTGCTCGTTCCTGAGAGAAAATACACAACCCCCAAAGTTAAAGGAGAAAAGGATCACTTAGCTCTGAGGGGTTTCAGTCTGTAATCGGCTGGCTCCAAGGCAAGGTGGTGCATGAGAGAGGGTACTTTATGGCCATACAAAGCAGCAAAAGCAACAAAAAAGGAAGAGGAGAGAGACACACCTTTCTGTCCTTGATATTGTCTGCAGGCTACCCACCTCAGGGTGGGTGTAGCGCTCACTCCTTTAATCCCATCACTGGACCATGGATCAGCCACAAACTCCAGTTTCTGCCCCTCTGAGTGACCACGTCCGGCTCTGAAGCCAGCCAGACACAAGCTGAAACAGGGACTTACGGGAATAAGCAAACAAGGCGCAC